TTCTCTATGGGGTTCAGGTCAGGCGAGTTTGCTGGCCAATCAAGCACAGTAATCCCTTGGTCATTGAACCAGGTTTTGGTGCTTTTGGCAGTGTGGGCAGGTGCCAAGTCCTGATGGAAAATTAAGTCAGCATCCCCATAAAGCTAGTCTGTGGAAGGAAGCGTGAAGTGCTCCAAAATCTCCTGGGAGACTGCTGCGTTGACCCTGGACTCAATAACCATCATAGGCTAGAGTCAGGGTAGACATCCAATGGCCCTCAGGTAGTTAGGAGTTTGGTTGCATGGCAGATTAAAAGTTACTGTGGGCACAGATTAGGTAGGCAAACTCTTGCATTCCAACATCACACCATGGTTTCTGCTGCTGAAGAAGCTACATTTCTGGCTGGTTGGACAACGGAAAAGAATCTCCCCATCATCACCGATTCTGCCTTCAGGTCTTTTGATACCAAAACAGATACTGCACCCTGATCATCCTCAGGGGCCCCTGCTAATGCACTTTTCTGCAATATTCATCTGGAGGTATCTTTATGGACAACTACTGTATATACCAAGGTATATGTGCACAGTTCCACCAGGACTTCTGTTGGGCCCTTATTGATATTACCTGATTGTACATGGGATGTATATACTAGTGTTAACCTTTTTTATTATGTAAGGCTTGTGTGCTTTCCATACTGGCATGTATTCATATACTTATGACTTATGTTGTTATACTGGCTTCAGTAGTTCCTTTTCTCCAAGTTACTTTGATTAGATTACTGGTTAATTTTCCAGGAAGTAAATCCCCTTTGCTCACATAGACCCTGTCCTGGATGAAGACACTGCCAACAATATTATTTAACCCAGTCTTCCACCAACCAAAGTTTCTGGCTGTCTTATTTACCTACAGTTTTAGAGCGATATCTTGATTGGGGAGGGCCATTTCTCAACCAACTCCCTCCCCCCAAAAAAGGTTTTGTTTTACTTTACAATGGTTTGCTTAACTGGGAATATAGGGGTGGAACTGCAATATGTTAGTTACCGTCAATGATATGATTTTAGAAATCTCAGTTCAGGACCAGCTAAATCCTCCAGTCATATCATGGTATTCAAAAAGTAGCATCAAACCTGTTCTCCGGCACTAAATCTCACCCACAGTATGTTTTATTTTGGTAGTTCATGTCATATATGAGTAAGATTGACAGAACAGGCTTGTAAGAAGGTAATAGCCATGCAAGACATTAACACATGTATTTGTTATTGGTGAATGGCAGGATATGCTCTGTCAGCAGGTTTGTTCCTTCAGGGTAGCATAATATCATGTCATTTCACTTTTGTCTGCTAACAAAAGAAAAATACCAAAATGTGGTTTGTAAAACAGAACTTGATGAAACTCAGGTGAACTATATACAGAATGTTTTGCATATTTTCTTTTGTTTCTGCATCCTTTTAGTCTGCACTGCTCTTTATTTCAGCCAAATTATTATTATTATACAGGACATATATAGCGCCGATAGTTTGCTCAGTGCTTTACATTATGGAGGGAGACAGTACAGTAACAATACAGATCAATACAAGAGGGATTAGAGGGCCCTACTCCTTGGAGCTTACAATCTAGGAGGGAGAGAATAGTGGTACAAGAGGTAATTAGCTGTGGGGGGATGGAGTGGTAGGAAGAGTAGAGGATTCCAGTATTAGCTGGGGTCGGGGTAGGCTTCCCTGAAGAGATGGGTTTTCAGAGTGCGCCTAGAAGTGAGCAGAGTAGGCAATAGCCTTATAGATTGGGGTAAGGAGTTCCAGAGGATGGGTAAAGCCCTTGAGAAATCCTGGAGACGGGCATGGGAGGAGGAGACAAGGGAGCTAGAGAGTAGGAGGTCTTGCAAGGAGCGGAGAGTACGGTTAGGGTGGTATTTAGAGACAAGGTCGGCGATGTAATTAGGGGCAGTGTTATGAACGGCTTTATACGTCAGTGTTAGTGTTTTGAATTTTATGCGTTGGGCAATGGGAAGCCAGTGGAGGGATTGGCAGAGAGGGGTGGCAGATACAGAGCTGTTAGTAAGGTGAATGAGTCTGGTAGCAGCATTCATGATAGACTGAAGAGGGGATAGCCTGCGATGAGGTAGGCCAGTGAGGAGGGAGTTACAGTAGTCAAGGCGTGATATAATAAGGGAGTGAATGAGTTGCATCTTGGAGATGTTGCGGAGGTGAAGTCTACATGAGTTTGTCAGCGATTGAACCTGGGGCTGAAAGGACAGATTGGAGTCAAGGGTTACACCTAGTACCCTGGCGTGAGGGGTGTGACTAATGATAGTGTTGTTGATCTTGATGGAGAAGTCAGGGGAGGGGGCACGGGCTGGGTGGAATACTAGGAGCTCAGTTTTGGAAAGGTTGAGTTTGAGGAAGTGGAGTGACATCCAGTCCGATATGTCACTTAGTAGGCTGGTGATGCAATTGGAGACACAGGGGGTGAGGTGAGGGGTAGAGAGATAGATTTGTGTGTCGTCGGCATATAGATCGTTTGTTAACTTTGATAATGATAATTTAATTTTTGGTAGTTTTTGGTAGAAAACGTTTAGTGACTGCAAAGATAGTCTTTTCCCTTTTCTGTTTTTTTTTTTTTTTTTTAAGCCAAGTTATTTTTATGCTGGTGTGTGGGGAACTAGCAAATAGTTGCATTAAGCGCTTAAGGACCGCGCTATAGTAGATATACTGCTTCAGGGCGCCCCTGTGTGCAAAATCGTGTGTGTATATATGTGTGTGTGTGTGTATATATGTGTGTCACTGGATCCTGGCCAGTGATTACCGGCGATCACCAACAGGGAGGAGGGCTGCTTTGTTTACCAACAGTCGTCCTCCCTGTCAGTTTGAGCACACTCTTCTGGATGGCTGAGCTCAGCCATTCAGAAAGGTGTGATCACAGTGAAGAACACCCCCCGCCCCCTAGTAACACTCCCCCATCACACCACCATGGCCGCTGCAGTCCTGCTACAAGTCGCTGATCGCCGCCATTATTAGTATTAAAAAAAACAAAATTCCAGTATCTATACTGCCATTTGTAAATGCTATAACTTTCACGTAAACCAATTAATTTACACGTATTGATATTTTTTTAGCAAAGACATGTAGAAGAATACATTTTGGCTTAAATTTATGATGAAATTCGATGTTTATATTTTTTTACTGGACATGTTTAATAGCAAAAGTCCAAAATATTGTTTTTTTTTCTCTAAATTGACGGTATTTTTCTATTTATAGCGCAAAAAATAAAAAAAACACACATGCGATGAAATACCTCCAAAAGAAAGCTCAATTCATGGGGGAAAAAAAAAAGGACATAAATTTCATTTGGGTGCAGCATTGCATGACTGCGCAATTTTCAGTTAAAGTAACGCAGCACCGTAACGCAAACTGCTTCTTTAACTGTTTCCTGACTGCCCTATAGCAGAAATACTGCTGCAGGGCGGCACGGGTGCGCAAAATCACGTGTACATACACGCACTCCCTTGGTTTCACACACCCTCCCAGATAGCGTCAGGTTGCCTGTCAGTACACCAGTAATCACATTTAACCCCTTGATTGCCAGGAACACGCTCATACACCATAAACTTCCATTGCTAGTATAGTGTCTGAACGGATCAATATCTTTGATCAGATCAGCACTATACCAGCGTTCACATTAGTATTCTGTCCCCAAAAACACAGCATTAGCGGGATCAGCCCCTACACTTATCCCCCCCTTCTCCCCCAGCAAGTGCAGTGTCCATAGGTCACTGTCACTTGATACATTGCACAAAAAACCGCAGTGTTCGCAGAATCAAGCCTGATCTCTGTTAGTACTTGCCAGTAAATTTTGATGACTCTCATATGCAGCTGAGTGCCAGTACTAGTGCTGCTCTACTTTTTGGTCAACTGGGGTGCACCAGCGGCCTAGTACATCCTGGTCTTTCACATACCAGCACTGCAGTATCACGTGGCGAGTCCCATAAGTGTAGTACAAGCTTGTCCCTCAACCACCAAGAATTCGCTCACAGGCCTGTAGAGCCCCTAGTGTCCTTCCGGATGTGCTTGCAAATCCTGATTAGCAGCCCACAGAATTTGCTGCACCCGTACTTCCCCCATGCACTGACCAACCCAGAATTCAGGTGGAAACAGCAAATTTAACTATTCCCCTTGATTTTGCTGGAGCTGTTTTTCATGGAAGATCTGTATGCATTGATGGTGGATCAAAGCAATTTATATGCACAACAATTTATCACCGCCAACCCAGATTCAAACTTTGCCAGACCATACACATGGAAACTCATTATGGTTTCCGAATTCAAAGTTTTTTTTGTGCCTAACCCTCAACATGGGCATTACAAAAAAAAAATTAATTGCGATTGTATTGGTCCATAGACTCGATTCATCATATGCCCGTGTTCTCTACTGTCATGGCCAGGCATAGATATGAGAGTATAATGTGTTTTATGCATTTCAACGACAACACACTCTGTTGTCCTCGGGGTGACTCTGAATTTGACCGGCTCCACAAAATTTCGGCCCCTCGTAAATCACCTTAACCAAAAATTTGCAGATGTCTATACTCCCAAGCAAAAAATCTGCGTTGATGAGTCCCTCATTAATTTTTCTGGCTGCCGTGCATTCAAACAATTTCTCCCCAGCAAGCATGCCAGATATGGGGTCAAGATGTATAAGACCTGTGAGAGGGCAACAGGCTATACATATAAATTTCGGATTTTTGAGGGAAAAGATAGTCGCATGGAGCCTCCTGGATGCCCAGACTACATGGGGAGCAGTGACAAGATAGTTTTGGACTTGGTGTCGTCCTTTTTCTATATGGGGTACCACTTATACATACACAATCTTGGAATTGGCGCACGTGGCACCATGTGACTTAATGTGTGCCCACCATTAGAAGTGGGTGGATGCAGGGCGGTATATTCTAATGGTGGGCATACCACACACTTTTTCTGGCAGATTTCTACTCTTTTTTTTTTTTTTTTTTTTTTTTTTTTTTTTCCCCATTCAGCCCACAGGCTGCATTTAAAAAAACAAAACAAAAAAAAAAACATAGCATATATACACAACAAGGACCAGCGACGTACTGGTAAATCACTGGACTTTGGTTATACCAGGATGATGCAGGTATCATCCTGGTATCGTTTTTTCAGCCAGCGATTGGCTTTCATGTAAAAGCAATCCTAGTGTTTAATTAGCTGCAGGATTGCTTTTACAAGCAGCTGGAGACGATGCTCCCCCTCCCCTGCTTCCTTCCATGGCCTTCTCGGGCAGTCCCATGCCATCGGGGGAACCTGAGAATGCAGCCGGTGTTTCTGCCAGCTGACCATAGAGCTGATTGGAGACCAGAATGGTGCCAATCATCTCTATAGTCTAAGAAATTTGAAGTTACAAGCATTTCATCACTTCAGTTTCACAGGATATAAACCGCGCCATTTGTAAATTGGGAAAGCATCTGATCACACCGATCTTGGTGAGATTAGATAATGTAAGGACAGAGGAGATATCTCTAGTCTGATAGGCCCCAGATTTCACAAAAAAAAAATATGACAATGCCCATTGAATTTATAGGGGATATTTGCATTCCCTGTGATGGCATTAAAAGTGATTTAAAAAAATCAAAGGGACTGTGTAAAAATAGTTTTAAAAAAATCTAAATAACTTTTAAAAAAAAAAAGCACCTTGCCCCCCCCCCCCGCACGCAAGCGTTGACCCTGTGCCGGTATGTAAACAGCGGTTGTACCATGCATGTGAGGTATTGCCACGACCGTCAGATCAAGGACAGTAATTCCAGCACTGGACCTCCTCTGTAAATCTAAAATGGTAGCTTGTAAATGCTTTTAAAGCTTTGCCTATGCATATTAAAAATGTATGCAGTTTGTTGCCATAGCATAGGGCATGCACAGTTTTAAAGCATGTCATGTTTGGTATCTATTTACTTGGCATACCATCACCTTTAATATTTTACTAAATAAATGGCCAATATATTGTGTTTTTGTGCATTAAAAGTAAAAAAAAAATGTTTTATTTTTTTAAATTGCTGTGTGAGTATTATGTGACATAAAAAATTGCAGCACCCACAATTTCACTAGGTTGTCTTCTTTAAAAAAATATATATAATGTTTGGGGGTTCAAAGTAATTTCCTAGCAAAAAATACAGATTTTGTTTTTTTCATGTGAAAAAAAAGTGACAGAAAAGGCTTGGTCTTCAGGTGGTTAGAATAGTGAATCGTGTGTAGCATAAACTTCTGATGCTGGGCATAAAATGCCCCCAACCCCCAAAATGACCCCTTTTTGGAAAGTAGACACCCCAAACTAATTGCTGTGAGGCATGTTGAGTCAATAGAATTTATTTTGTTACCACAAGTTTTTGGAAAATGACAAAAAAAAAGATTTTTTTTTTTTTGTACACAAAATTGTCATTTAAATTTATTGCTCACACATGCCATGGATATATATGGAATTACTCCTAAAAATACATTCTTCTACTTATCCCAAGTATGGGGATGCCACATGTGAGTATCACCGTTTCAGAGGCCCTGAAATGCCAGGATAGCACCAAACTTCCCCAAAGGCACCCCAAGGAAATTGATAAGAAGCATGGTGAGTATTTTGCAGATCTCGTTTGTTGCCACAAGTTTTTGGAAAATGAAAGAAAACAAAAACCTATTTTTTCTTTTCCTTTTTTATATTTCAAAACCTTGTGAGAAAAAGTTAGATCTGCAAAATGCTCAACATGCCTCTTTTTAAATTCCTTGGGGTGTCTACTTTCCAAAAAAAGATCATTTGGGGGGTTTAGTGCTATCCTGGCATTTCAGGGCCTCCAGAACTGTGATAGGTAATGAAGTTACGCACCTTCAGGCTTTCAAAGTTGTCATTGGATTTCAGGCTCCTGTATGTGGCTAGGATCCCAAAAAGTCTCACACATGTGGTATCCCCATACTCTGTAGAAGTAGCAGAATGTATTTTGGGATGTAATTCCACATATACCCATGGCTTATGTGAGCAATATATAATTTAAATGACAACTTTGTGTAAAAAAACAAAAAAAAAAAATGTTTGTCATTTTCAAAAAACTTGTGGGAAAAAAATAAATCTTCCATGGACTCAATATGCCTCTCAGCAGATAGCTTAAGGTGTCTACTTTCTGGAAAGGGGTCATTTGGGGGTGTTTGCACTGTCCTGGTATTTTAACACTTCAAGAAATTTGATGGGCAGTCAGAAAGTAAAGGCTGTGTAAATTCCATTATCTATACATTTTGGCCAAAATTTGAGTTTTTGGGATTTTTTTAAAACAGAAATGAGAAAATATTGGTTTTTTTTTCCAAAATTTTTTTGTTTATAGCACCAAAAATAAAAAGCACACAGGTGATTAATTACCACCAAAAGAAAGCTCTATTTGTGTGAAAAAAAGGACATAAATTTAATTTATGTACCATATTGCATGACCGCTCAATTGTCAGTTAAACTAGTGCAGCTCTGTATAGCAAAAAAATGGCGTTAATTGCAGTATCTATACCATAAATATAATGTGAAAACTTACAGCGCAATATGCCTATCCAAATACGTATAATAAATAAAGTAGAATTAAAATATTGCAGCTAACATATACAGCGTTCCCACATACAAATACTAATATACAAAAAATGCAGCACAATATTCTAAAATAAATATTAAATATGCGTAAATCTATTCTGTGCTCAAAACGTATTGCTTTAATTACAACACAATAATGCACACTTCCTCATATTCCTCATAATACCATGCATTATCTGAATTCTATCCACTGTGCGTTTATAAAGTATATAGTGGCCCAATATAAATCTTGGTAAACCGTCCCTTTAAGGCTCAGTGCTCCAAGTGCTAATGTGCAATTTCTTCTCTGTGTATATATATTCATCCAGTGATATCGTGTGACCCCCAGTGTTAGATCCACCTCCAACACACTTATTTGCTCACCGTCAGGTCAAGCCGCGCCTTTTCCCTTTTAACCCGGGCAGGTATACTGGTGTATCAATCTCCAGTTCCTCCTGCACCTCCAAAATGCACCACTTGGACGTTGACCCGAACCGCCAGGTCAAAAGCGCGCCTTTCCTTTAACCAAGGCGCTTTTGCTGGTATATATATATCCAACTCCTCCTGCTCCTCCAAACTCCAAAATGCAGCACAGAAAATGGAAAAAATGCTCCAGATGGTAAAGTATATCAAATCACTGTAAACTTTATTAAAACTGTTAAAATCTCCCACTGACATTTATTTGTGTCCTTCTCGGACACTACAGGATCAATATCTTTGTATAGTAATTTTGTGAATGAAACTGCATTGGATCCCCTATCTAAGATGGCAGTACATACACTTCCGGTTACGGCTTGACGTCATTGGCGTGCCCTACGCGTTACGTCATGTGACTTCATCAGGAGACAGATTCCCTGCTGAGCAAGTGGACCCCTGGTGGAATCTGTCCCATGTGGAAGGGGCCTAAGGGTAGATTTAGACATGCGTCTAAATCTCCCTTACCTCTGAAGCCTGATACGCTCCAGAGGTTACTGAGAAGTGGTGAGGAAGCAATGTGCTGCTTCCTCAGCACCTGTTTTAACCCAGGTTGTGCCGTCAAATGAACCGAAGCCATGTGTATTGCGCGCAGTTGCAGGACATTTGCGGCGCTTCTCCATTGACTTGAATGTGTAGCATTTGACGGGCGGCATTGCTACAAGTCATGTCAACTTTGCCGAGGGTGCAAAGTGAAGCATTGCAGCCACAGCATGTAAACACTCCTGTTCGCTGCCTATTGCACCTTAAGGGGGGATGGTTGGCGGGTAGCAGATATGTAGCTCATCCCCCAAACCACAAATCTAAACAAGGCTTAAGGCCTTGTTCACACAGGCAATACTACAGTGAGGCCGTGTTTAGCTGCAGGGGGATGCATAGGTTTTCCGTGCATCCCCGTGCAGTTAGTCCCATCGATGTGAATTGGGACACAACAGCTGCATGGGAGTGAACAGGTGTTTCATGCATTCCTGTGCAGGAAGTTTCATTCATGTCAATTGGGATGCAGTGGCTGCATGGACACAGCCACTGCTCCCAATGTAAGATCCGTGTGGGTGCATGTCCTAGAGCTTTGTCTGTGTTTGGGGCCATGAACCTACACCCGCTAAAATGTCAGATTTGTCCCTGCAGTCGCTGCATCCCAATTGACATGAACGGGACTGCCTGCACAGGAATGCGCAGAACACATGTGGGTAAACCTGGCCCTCCATGAGCATACACTTTAGTACATCCCATGTGAATAAGGCCTTAGTAGGAATTGAGCAGGAATTTTGTGAGTTATATTGTGTTTGTGTGCTAATAAAGATTTTAGTGTTTTTTTTAGATAAAATAGCTATTTGATAAACATTTGCATTGCACAACTACTGTGAGGCCTAAAAAATCAATAGCATTTTCTTTTTATTCCACTGGTCATGTGCTTTCAGAAATGACCTGTTTTTTGTGTGTGTGTGGGGGGGATTGAGGTAGGGTGTCTTTTTGCTTTTGAAAGCTGTAACTGTAAAATAAAAAAAAAAGCAATGGAATAATTGTGTAAATGGTCTGGCCACCTGAGTGTAAAAGTGGAGCGCAGGGCCTGGCAGCAAAAGGGTCTTCCTGTCCTGTAGATAGAATCAACAGATAGTGAGAGAGTGTCAATATCCCCTTTTAGACAATTGTCATTGGAACAAGTGTCCCCACTGGAACTTTGCCCTTATTTCAGTCCTGGTAGCAAATCAAAGTTCTGGACCCTCACTTTAATTCCGGGTGGCAGTAGTGATCAGGACAGTTGGAGAGAGCCAATCTTCCAAACATGGACACCACAGGCAGCAGCAATAACCTAACAGTGGCTCTAAAGCACGATGGGACTTGTAGTTCCACATTAACTGGCGGGCTGTCAGTTTGACACCTCTCGTAACCTTGTTAAAGGCAACAAATTATGTTTTTAAAGTTAAATCTTAGAACACTTGCATCAAGGCAGTTGTTTAGAGACCAGTGCTCATGTTCTGTTGCAAACATCAATGTTTGCCTCACCATGGGTTTTATGACTATTTTTAGACTTGTTAAATAATATATCAGTTTATTGTACACATGTATACAGAATATGCTTCATATGTTACTGCTTAGAAAATGAGCTTGCATCTTTTGTTAGAACTAGTCACATTCTTGTCCTTTACTGCTTTTTGTAGTATTTATTACCATTCTTTCACAGCAAGGAAAACTTTTGTGAATACCATTTTTGGAGGAATATTTTATTGCTATTCTTTTTTTTATTTTTTTGTTTTCATATACATGGCATTACTGGTCTTAATTTTACATTATAAGGTCAAATTCAGCACTAATGTTCTGCAAAGAGACAGAGATTGATAATCAGTA